AGAATGGTAGAGTAGTTCTTGTTTTTCCCTGAGGTAATGCAGGGCTGGTAACCATCATCTTCTCACTGTCCATAGGCAGAGAAAATCCTCCTATACAATATATTTCTCAATTGGTTTAAGACAGCTAAAGTTTCTTTCTGTTGCTTATAGTTGCAAGTTGTTAATTCTTGTTTTAGGCTTCAGTTTGCCACCTGCGGCGTGCAGCCACGTGCAGACGCATGCCTGGCGGCCACGTGCAGGCCCAAAAATCACACACTGGCCCGGCGGCCACGCGCAGGCCCGATGGCCACGCGCCGGACCCAGTGCCACCTCCCGTTCGCCCGCCCGGCCAGAGAAAGGAAGGACGGCGACCTCGGCTGGTCAGCGCCGGAGAGACAGCGGGGGCCGGGTGGCCCGGGCTGCGGAACACGGGGGCCGGGTGGCCCTGGCCGCGGAACGCGGGGCCCGGGCCCGCCGCCGCGCAGATGAAACCTCTCTTTAGTTGCATGTGGCATAGTTAGGAGAAATGAGTGGAACTGCACTTGGGTAGGGCCGTTAGCTGCACTTCTCCATCATTGGTCAAAGTACCCTCCCTCAGAACTGCCTCTTTCCCATTTCTCTGCGATATCTTCAAGTGACAGTGTTTCTTACACTATTTTAGAACCTTTCCAAACTGCTTCATGAGAAAAGGACTGAAAACCTGAATTTCAGTTCTCTGTAATTCAATTTGCTTGGTTAACCAAAACTGCTTCGAAGTGGTAGGTTCCACATTGAGTTGTGTTGAGAGGTGGCACAGAGCACTAGTGGTTCAGAGTGGGAGCATTGGAGTCAGCCTGGCAGGGTTCAGACCTGAACTAGTTCTCGTGTGTACTAGTTCTCATCTTGGCTAGTTATTTAACTGCTCTGTGCTTCAGTTCCTTATCTGGAAAACATGGGAAATAAGAGCTCTACTTTCATGATTAGGTAAATACAAGGGAATTTCAAAAAGTTTGTACCAAAAAAAAAAAGATAAAAGTGAACATTTTGACTCCATTTATTTGATGAGTGGAATGAGTAGGAGCATTGTCATGGTGGAGGACTCTGGTGAAGCTTTCCAGGAGTTTCTCTATTAAAGCTTCAGCTAGTTATTAATAACTTTCATAATAATCGCATGTTATCATTCTTTGGTCCTCCAGAAAGTCAACAAGCAAAATGCCTTGAGCATTCTAAAAACAGTTGCCATGACCTTTGCTTTTGACTCGACCACTTCCACCTCTTGGTGGCCATTGCTTAGTTTGTGCTTTGTCTTCAGGATCATACTGGTAAAGCCATGCGTCATCTCCTATTGCAGTTCTTTAAAGAAATGCATCAGAATCTTCATATTACTTGCTTTAAAATTTCCATTGAAGGCACTTCTCTTGTCATATCTGTACACAACAGTTTTGGCACACATCAAGCAGAAAGTTGCTCAGTTTTAACTTCTCAGAATTGTGTAAGCTGAACCAGTTGAGACGTCTTTGATGTTGGCTATTGTTTCTGCTGTTAATCATGGGTCCTCTTCAGTTAGGGTACAAACATGGATGAATTTTCCCTCACAACTTGATGTGGACAGTCTGCTGCTACCAGAGTCGTCGTCATCATCTCATCCATTCTTAAAACAAGTTATACCTTTGTAAACTACTAATTAGAAGGGGGGCACATTGTCTTCACTAACTTTTTGTAAACTAACAATGATTTCACCATTCTTCCACCAAAGCTTGGCCATAAATTTAGTGTTCATTCTTGCTTCAATTTTTGCAGAATTTGTGTTGCTCTGGTAGGGGCTCTTTTCAAATCAATGTTTTACCCTTCCTAGTGCCTCAGAGGTGATCCTGTTCAGACATTATAACAAATTAGTTTATTTATTTTGATGCAAAGAAAATTTAAATCCATGACCTTTTTTTCAGATATGTATTTTCCATGGACTTCCTAAAGGCCTCTGTACTTAAAAAGTATTTAAAACTGCCTAGTACATAGTATGGACTCAGTAAGTGTTCACTGCCATGGTTATTATTACTGCTGTTGCTGCCATCATCTTCATGCAACTTCTAAGGAAGAATGAGAAAACCACATGGCACCTAAAGTACCTTAGAACTGTACAGTCACCCAGAGCATCTTGTTTGAATCTACCTATCTTGAATTCTGTTAGCTAAGATTGATCATCTGTGGCATGTAGCTGGCTAGTAGAATAATGTCAATTAGGAGCAATGCCAGATTGAATTAGTAGGAAAATGAAATGATAGATGTGTGGAAATCATGACGCATTTCTTTTTAAAAACTACTGTCTTCTGCAGGCACATGTGCATACATGTGTAAAATCCTAAGAGAAGAATGGAGAAGGGATCGCCGCCTGGCCATCCCCTCTAAGGGATGATTTCTACTTTCCTTCTCTCTGTGTCTCTCCAGTGAACACATATACCCTATAGGAAAAAAAAAAAAAAAAAAAAAAAAAAACCTGCTATCTTCTGTTTAGAGCAGTAACAGAAAGTTATTAATATTAACCCATTCAAGAAAGGAAAAATTTGTTTCAGAAGTCTGTATCAATAGCCAGGGTAACATATTAAATAAAAGAAAATTAGCTTAACAGGACCTTAATTTAAAGAAAAAAAAAAAAAGTTTACTTAGTAGACCCAGAAGAAATATGGTCAGTTTGTGAGATAACTGTCACAGCATTCCTCAGGACCTGTTTATACTCAGGTTGTGACTAGGGAGATTCCAAGAATGAAATCTTTCTGCTTAGTTACTGGTCAGAGGTTGGGGGAAGGACAACAAAAATAAAACCCTGCTTATCCCAAAAGAAAAAAAAAAAAAAAAAAAAAAAAACCTGCTATCTTCTGTTTAGAGCAGTAACAGAAAGTTATTAATATTAACCCATTCAAGAAAGGAAAAATTTGTTTCAGAAGTCTGTATCAATAGCCAGGGTAACATATTAAATAAAAGAAAATTAGCTTAACAGGACCTTAATTTAAAGAAAAAAAAAAAAAGTTTACTTAGTAGACCCAGAAGAAATATGGTCAGTTTGTGAGATAACTGTCACAGCATTCCTCAGGACCTGTTTATACTCAGGTTGTGACTAGGGAGATTCCAAGAATGAAATCTTTCTGCTTAGTTACTGGTCAGAGGTTGGGGGAAGGACAACAAAAATAAAACCCTGCTTATCACAGTGATGCATGAAACACAAGTTTCAGTAGCTACTTAGGAGGTTTAGCAAAATGAATTATTTTTATAAGCTTCGTATTGTCTCGGGACAATTCAGCTTTAATAAGTCCATGTGGAAGCACCTGTGGTCACTTGTTTGAGTGACAAGAGCAAATTTGGAGACATAGTGACTTAGTGGCCTTTGGTGACTGAAGGATCTTTCTTTCTGGCCAAGGTTTTTCCAGCTGTATAACTTGCGGGTCTGACTGGGGCTGTGTTTGTACAGTTCATCAGGCTCCTTTATTTGTTCAGTTGGTCAAGAAACTTGTAGGAAGTAAAACTTCTGGCTATACTCAGAGATTGTCTGTTTTTGTTTATTTATCCATTTCCCCCATGAGTGAGAGGAAGACAGAGAGAGAATGGAAGAAAAAGAGACAGTGGCAGAGATCTCCAACAGGGTCCCTACGCCAGAATGCACCACAAGCCCCATCCATCCCCAGGTCATGGGCACACACATGCCTGTGTGAACCTGGAATTGTCCCATGTGGGTCATTTTACTCCTTCATCATCATATGGCCCCAATTCTGTTATTTAAAAGGGCACTTATTTAGTCCCCCATATTATAGTCTGTTAGGTTATTAAACTTCCCTTCTAAAATGTGTACTTGTTCCTTATCATTGTAAATTGCTAATCCTAGGTTTGGTATCTACACAAGAGTAAATGAGATTTAGCTGTGCTCATAGTTTGTAGAGAAATCTCTTACAAACATGAAGGAATTTGTGGCTTTTAGTGACTTTCTCTTGGCCTCTGACTCTGTAGATCAGCTGACCAACAATTTTACCTTTTACTTTAGAGTCACTTGATTCCACATCTGGATGTAGTAGATTGCAGTGTCCTATTGCCACCCCAACCCTGCACGGTCCTGGAGAGTAGAAACAGACTGGCAATAGAAATCCTATCTCAGAGCTCAGGTGTTAGAATCAGGCTGCTTACGTTGTAACCTAACTTCACCACCTAATAACTTGGTGGCCTTAGATGGTGCAGGC